CTCCCTCATCCTCAAAAAACCCTTAATTGATCTGTCCATTCCTGATAGCTATCATCACGTATCTCTCAATTCTTTCATTTCTAAACTCCTTGAGAAATCCATCAATAATCAGTGCCTTCACTTCCTCTCTTCACTCTCTTCTTCTATCTCTGAAGCATGGCTTCCTACATCATCATTCAGATAAAAATGTTATCTCTCAATCTGCATTTTTCTTGACCACTCAGCAGTCTTTTATGCTGTCAATCAACCTCTCCTCCTTGATGTGGTTTTCATGACACTACTCTCTCCTGGTTCTTCTTCTACATGTATGACAACTCCTTTTCAGTTTCCTTTGCTAGATCTTAGCCAAGGCCATGCCACTAACACTGGGTGTCTGCCTAGTTTCTGTCCTTTGGCCCTCTTTTCTTCTCACTTTATGTTATTTCACTTTTTGATCTTATTGGCTTCCATGGTTTTAATTATCATCTCTATGTAGATGATTCTCAAATATATTTATCCAGTACTAACTTCTCTCTTGATCTAAAATCTCTCATCTCTAACTACCTACTGAACATCTAAAACTGGAGGTCCATAGGTATTTTAAACCTTAACATGTCCAAAACTGAACTCATCTTTTCCCTGAACTTTCCCCTCTTCCAAACTTTCCTATTATGGCCAAGAGTGTCATCCTCCTAATCACTCTGTTACCCTGGTCACCCTGACTGATCTTCCACTTCCCACTCTAACCCCTTGTATCAAATCAGTTGCCAAGTCCTATTGGTTTTTAACCTTTGCAACATCTCTCTTATATATCCCTTCTCTCCTCTGACACTGCTGCCATCTTGGTGTAGGCCCTTATCAGTTCATGCCTATACTATTGCTATAGTTTGCTGGTTGGTCAAGGCTCTCTTCATTTTAGTCCATCTTCTACTCAGCTGCCAAACTGCTATTCCTGGAACATAGATCTGACCACATCACCTTCCTAGTAGTTTCCTATCACCTCAAAGATTAAATATAAAATTCTCTGGCATTTATAGGCCTTCACACCTGGTAAGCTCATACCTGTTCAATCTTCTTATACTTTATTTCTCACCCCCAGCCCTCACTAGACTGCTTGATATTCCTCACACACAACAGTTCACCTCCTGTCTAGGAGCATTTTTACTGGCTGATCCTCATGTCAAGAATTCCCTCCTCACTCATCTTCACTTCTTAGTTTCCCTGGCTTTCTTCAAGTCTCAGCTGAAGTCTCACCTTCTGCAAAAAGGCTTTTGAGTTCTCGCTTAACGCAAGTGCCATCCCCCTGAAATTATCTCCAATGTATCTTATTCATATATAATTGTTTTCATCTTGTCTTTCCCATTAGACTATGAACTCCTTGAAAGACCAAAGGAATTGTTTTCACTTAGCTTTTAGTACAGTGCCTGGCACATAGTAGGTAATTAATATATGCCTATCGGACTGACTTGAAGTCAATATAGCCCTACTAGACTTAGACAAATCTAACCAAAAAAGCAAGAAAGAAGTTAAAGATTTGAATAGAGTTCTAGAAAATTTAGATACAATAGATTTATGGTAATGGGGATAATAATGAGTGTAGATATTTCTCAGTTGTGCATGGTACCTTTACAAAAATTGACCATGCATTAATGTATAAAACCTCAAAACAATAGATAATTTAGCCAAAGTTAATGACAACAATAAGAAAACATATTAAAATTTAGGAGTTGAAGCCAAAGCAGTCTTTAAGAAAAATTTTTTATCTGTAAATCCTATTGAATTAATAAATAATACTAGGAGTGGGAGGAAGAAAAAGACAATAAAATAGACAAATCAATAGCAGGATTACAAAACAGAAAAAAGAATAGTAAATGATCTGTATAAAAAATTAAAAAAGAATTCAGAACAGATAAAGAATAGAGGAAAGTATTAGAAACTCTTTTCCCTGTCTTCACTTATGCCAAAAAAAAACTGACTTCAAAAAAAAAAAACTTAAAGAAATATAAAATGCAATGACTCTGAGGTAACACCTCACATCTGACTAATATGACAGAAAAGGAAAATGACAAATGTTGAAGGGGATGTCGGAAAGTAGTTGTAAACTGATCCAACCATTCTGGAAAGCAATTTGAAACTATGCCCAAAGGGTTACAAAACTACATGCCCTTTGACCCAGCAATATGCAAAAGGTCTATATCCCAAAGAGATTTTTAAAAAAGAAGAGAAGCTATATGTACAAAAATATTTATAGCAGCTCTTTTTTTTTTTGTGGTGGCAAAGAAGTGGAAATTGAGAGGTTGCTCATCAATTGAGGAATGGCTCAACAAAGCTGTGGATATGATTATGATAAAATGCTATTGCGCTATAAGAAATAATAAGCAGAATGCTTTCAGAAAAACCTGGAAAGACTTACATGAACTGGTGCAGATTGGAGTGGGCAGAACCAAGAGAACAGCATTGTTGTAAGAATTATCAGCTGTGAATGATTTAGCTATTCTCAGCAATACAATCATCCAAAACAATTCCAAAGGACTAAGGATGAAAAATGCTATCTGCCTCCAGAGAAAGAACTGATGGAGTCTGGATGCAGATTGAGGCATACTATTTTTTACTTTATTTTTGGGGGTTTTCTTTTTATTGTTTTCTTTTACAACATTACCAGTATGGAAATGTTTTTCATAACTGAACAGTATAACTTATATAAAATTGCTTGTCTTCTCAATGAGGGGGGAGAAGAGAAAGGAGGGAATTCAAAATTTTAAAAAGCTAATGTTAAAAATTGTTTTTACATGTAATTGGGAAAAAATTAAATATTTAAAATAAAAAATATTAAATGCCCAGATTAATAGAAGAAATGCTAGCATTAATAACCTAATTTCAGAATTAAATGACAAAAAAATGCAAAAAAAAAACAAGACAAGATGGATTTACAAATAAATTCTATTGAATATTCAAGGAAAAACTAATTGCAACATTACATAATGTTTGCAAAAATGGAGAAAGGGCCCTATAAAATTCCTTTTATGATACAAATATTATCTCAATACTTAAACCTGGGAGAGTCAAAATACAGAGACTACTATAGAATATTCCTAATGAATACTGAAGTAAAAAAATTAAATATTAGCAAAGAGACTACAAAAAAAATCAGTGGGATTATATTTTATGACCAGGTTGGATTTATATCAGGAATGAAAGTTTTTGTATTTTTATCTGTAAACAATTTCATCAACAAAAAAAGAGAGAAAAAACAGATCAATGAATTGAGTATGCAACTTAGAAACTAGAAAATCAACTAATTAAAAAACTCAATCAATAGAAATCAAAGAAGAGACTAACAAAATTGAAAGCAGAAAACTCCATTGAATTAACAAATTATAATAGGAATTGTGCTTATGCTACTATACTATGCCATACTTACGTATTTATTTACCAAGGGGCGTACTAGGTCACAGGAGGCCAAGGATACTCATCTTTTGGATGCAATTCGGCAAATGTAAATATTTTATCTCCAGTATGTATTAGGAATTAGAATTTAACTAACTTATAGAGATCTAAGGTTCTTATCTTAGATATTACTCAACAGGAATTGAATAAATGGGGCTAGTTAACCCTTTTGGGGTTCTTTTGTTTAAATTGATATCATTAATAGTTTTCAAACAGTCTTATGTTTTTATGTTTGCATTTTATAAACAAGTCACCACCAATCAGTCACTTTAATGGGATCTAATTTCCTATTGCCAGTTACACTCTGACCATTGAGTTAAATTCATAAAATCATATAGGAGATAGAGTTGGAAGGGACTTTGGAGGGCCTAGTCAACCCCTCTAATAAGGAAATTGCCCTCCCAATCCTCTTATTGATTTGCTCAAGATTATACATCAATGTTAATAAGCGGTAAAGCCAAGGATTTAGAACTCTGACTCCAAATCTAGTCAGCCTTTGATACAGAAGAACTTAATTTACCTTATTGATACAAAAAAATTAGTGAGCCTAAAGAGTTTAGCACCTAACTATGCATATTTGTGTAGTTTTATTTTTATCTGTGTTTGCAAACCTTGATTTCTTTGTCTTTCACCACCTTAGCTGGTCACATTTCACTTTTCCTCCTTTTTCCTCAGTACTTCAAGTTCTTAGGCTGAAGTTATATTTAGGGCACCCTTTAGTCCCCTCAATCTGATCTTCTAAGAAATCCTGTTCTGCCCTAGGAAACCATGTCAGGGAGGAAGTAGCTTGGAGGAGCTGGCTAAAATCTCTTTCCTGTTCATTAAGGCTTTTATCTTTAATCGTGGCCCTCTAATTGAATCTTTGATAAATGGGCAGATTAATAGAGTGACCTGTATTCCCTCATAAAATGTCAGAGACATTAGGGTGGGAACTATGATGATCAGTGAGGAACTCTCAGATCTTTAGAAGAAAAGAGAGGCACTGTGCTAAAGTGTTAAGACTGTGGGTTTTGGAGTGAGAGAATGTGGATTCAGATCCTAATTCAGTCACTATCTGTGACCTTGGGCAAGTCAGAACCTATAGGGGACTCAGTTTCTTCAGCTGTAAAATGAGGAATTTGGACCTGATGATCTCTTAGGTTCCTTTCAGATCTTAATTTATGATCTTATAATACAGGTAAATATAAGTTTAAAAAAAAATTCAAAGAAGGGTAGCCCGTACTGGGTATATTGGGCCTCTTATTTTAAAGTATATCAACCTAATTATATTATGAAAGCCTGAAATATTATTTTTAGGCTTTTTTTTTTCTTCAAACAAGCTACCAGTGAGCTGGGGAGCTGCAGGAGAGGGGAGGAAGGTGCAGTCAGTAACACAAAAAGAGCAACAGGTCTAACTACGAATGAAAATCCTCCCCAGGTTTTCTGCGGCCTTTCCCTACCGGGAAAGGCGACCGGTAATCTGGGTGGGGCAGCCCACGGGAAGCACAGAAAAGGGCTAGGGAAGAAAATGTCCCGAGAGGAGAAAGCTTTCGCGGCATACGCCCAGGGCTCCCCAGAAGGCGAGGCTCACTCACCGTTAGCCACGAAACTCTTGCCTTTTCTGGCCAGCGTCTGCTGGACCTGCTCCTGGATTCTGAGGGTTTTAGCAGACTGGTCAGTGTGGCTACTGCTCCCAGCCAGTTTCAGTTTGGCCTCTGAAGGTAGAGCCAGACTGGAGCTGTCCAGCTGCTCTAGGATCTGCTGGCCCAAGACGGTTCGGATGTAGCCACAGTCCGCAGGTAAGGTCGGAGCTGCCATGGCCATAAGGAGGGGATGATAGGGTATTCTGGAGACTGGCGGCCGCACAGCTCTGCTCTCCTTCCTGTAGCGGCAAGACCAGGGAGAAAAGAGGCGGTCGGAGCTAGCCCTGGGCTCTAGCTCACAGTACTGCCAGCGGGTCTCCGCCCCTGAGCCACGCCTCCGAGTCCTCTCCGCAGCTCCCTCCTCCCACCTGAAACACACACACACACACACACACACACACACACACACACACACACACA